ACCTGTCCCTTCCTTCAGCTCCATTGTCCCTATTCCCTATGTTACCCTCTGAGACCAGGGCATTTTCAACCACTGTTTCTTGGAAGGGGCTTCCAGGTGCCAATGCCCTTCTTTGAGTGGTCTACTTGGAGTCAAAAGCCTGAGTCAGGATGCTCCTCTCCATTCACTTAGCACACTGAAATGTCCTTGTTTTTATTTCTCTAAGTTGCTCATTGGAAGGAGCTTATTATCACTCAGAGCCTAGAACCTGCCTCCCATATGGCTGCTGGGAAAGGAAGAAGACAAAGAGGAAAGGTGGGAGGGAGAAGGATTGCTACACTTCAGACCTTCTAGCCACATCATTTATGATCTGGGTGACTTGCTTCTCTGAGTTTCCTTTCCTCAGGTAAGAATGGGGATAGTGATATTGCTTTAAGAAAGTTGTTTTGGAGGTTCAGGAAAAAAAAGTATTAAGTGCTCAACTAATAATTTAATATCAGTTTATTTATTTATTTTTGCAATGCTGAGGATCAAACCCAGAAATTATATGTCTAAAATCTTAGTCCTGTACTCATTTCTTCTGATCCTCAATTTATTACTTCTTCAAATTTATTCTTCCTTCTTTATGCCTTTTCAATATTTTAAATTTATTTTTATTACAGAGGATTTTAAACATATGCAAAACAAATGTAATGGGAAAATGAGCCCCCATGTAGTCATTACCCAGCTTCAACCACCCGAAATATATATATCCTTGTTTCATCTTTACTTTACCCACTCCCCACTTTCTTCACTTGTAAAGTTTTTAAAGTAGATAAGTCTGAAGTGCTCAGTCTTAACAAATGAACATTCCAGTGTAACTCATACCCCTATGAACAGATACTGAGCCTTTCCATCATCTCAGAAAGTCCACCCCCTGGTTGTTGCTGCTGCCTCCAGTGTATTTCTTCCTTAAAGCAATCTTTCTTTATGTTTGCCTTCTGCATATTTCTACCTGTTACTAAGTCTTCAGCTGAATGATAAAAGTTTCAGGTTTTGAAATGTAGTCTTCATAATGGAATGATAAGGATTCAGTGGTCTTAGTTGGCTAACTTCACTGCTCTGGGCCCAAGGTGGGATACAACCTCATGGCAGAAGAAAGCAGCCCAGGACATGGCAATCAGGAAGCAGAGTCCTTTATATCTTTTGATTGCTATGTCTTCACCTTTCCTTCCAGCTCTGGCCTTACTGGCCTCCTCTATAGCCTGCACTCTGATTGTCCAGGTCCAGTTTGGGGACCAGACCCTTGCTGCTCATCACCACCACCTCCAGTTCCCTCTGTCTACATGGCCTATGCCTACCTTGGTCTCCCTATTTGTGAACACCATGAAGGCAGATACTTGAGCTTTCTGGTCACTGTTCTATTTTATACTTGGTATAGTCTTTAGCACATGGTAAGTCTTAGTATATATTTGTTGAATAAATCTATCAGTCACTTCACACACATGACTTTGGTCCTCCACTTCCTTTCCTCATATTTTTCTTTCATTCCTAGAGGCCTCCAAGCATCCTCCATGTTCTTTCCCTCCTCTGACCACCTGACCCCATGCTTACCTGATCCTCTACCTGGATTGACAGTTACCTCAGTATTGATCTTCTCTTCCTTTAACCTATCCTGTGCATACTGTTAGATATATTGTTTTCAAGCAAAATGTTGATCATTCTCCTTCCCTGTTCTGTTGCCTAGCCAGCCATATGACTCTTTGTCTGAGCGTACAAAGCTCCCCACCAGTAATTTAGTCTAACAGAAAGCACTAGCTCTGGAATCCATCAGAACTGCATTCTAATGTCTCTCTACTGCTTTCTTTCGGCTTCAGTTTCCTAATCATCAAGTAACACTTACCCAGTATTATTGTGGTGTGTGTGTGTTGCAAAACAGTAGCAGCTAACATTTATTGAGGCTTCCCTATGTGTCAGATATTGTACTAAGTGTTTTGTGAGAATTGTCCAATTTAATTCTCATATCAGCTATGTAAGGTCAGCACTTTAATCCCTGTATTACAGATTAGGAAATGAAGGTTTAGGAAGGTAAATAACTTATTCAGGGGAATGCTGTAAGTGTCCAAGTGAGGATTTGAACTCGAGTCTGACAGCAGAGCCTGTCTTCTCAGCCACTGTAGTAGTAGCTCAAGCTTGCATATTTACTGCTGTGTGCCAGTCACTGTTCTAACTACTGAGTATGAAATAGTAGGTATTATTATCATACCCATTTTATAAATGAGGAGATGAATGCACTGAGAAATTAAATGGCTTTTCCAGGGTCACAGGGTCAGTAAGTGTGAAGCTGGGAGTCAAATCCAGTGGTTAGTGTTTTAATCACAATCCTGTCCTACCTTGTTATGGTACATTGTCTCCCTATATTAGGAAAGCAGTAAATGTGTATTGGTGAATGAATCTATGCTGAATCTAATTTGGTCTCTGCCCAGATCTGAGTCAATATGTTCTCCCATTTCCCACTGCAGGAACCCTGCACTCTCACCCCTCTCCTGACATGATTCTCTCCAGCATCACCAGTGACTTCCTTACTATTAGTTCAGCGACCCCTTCTCAGCCCCCATCTTACTTAGACTCTCAGCAGCATTGGAAACGATCGATCTCTCCTTCCTTTTTCAAATGATTCATCCTTCACTTCTGTGATGCTGCCTCCAGGAAGAATAAAGTTCTCCTCAACTGCCTCTTCTGTGTGCCTGTTTCCCAGGGTTTTGAACTAGATTCTTTTCTCATGCTATACATCCTATCTGATAGGGGTCTCCACACCCATGACTTTCAGTTACCCTCTGATTTGTCCAAATATTTCCAAACCAGGCCTCTTTCTTAAGCTCTGGGCCTGCAAATCCAACTGTCTGGGACATGTCCATGAGAAGATTCCAACAGGCACCCCTCAAAATGACTTCTTCTCTTCAGTATCCTAGTGGCACCACAATGATATCCACACTGGGACTTTGGGAGGCAGTCTAGAGCCCAAGAGTCCTCATCCACTTCACCTCCCCACCTCTTTGTGTCTTCTAAGAGCCACGACTGATAACCTGGACTATTACAGGTTAGCTACACCTTTGGTCTTTCTCTTGCTTCAGATTCTCTTCCTTCTTCAGGCCTCCAATATCTTCCTAGGACCCTCCCTTCACCCTCTCCATAATTTCTTCCTCTCCATCTTTTTCCTTCTCCCTAAATCTCAGACAACATGAAAGCATAGTCCTGGGAGCAAATTAAGGCTGCATTAACTCAGGAAAATTGTTTCATTCTAAGCCTCAATTTCCTCACTGGAAAATGGAAGCTGGAATTCCTTTCTCACAGGGTTGTTATGATGATTAAATGAGATACTGTCTGTGAATTGCCTGGCATGGGGCCCAGTATGCTGTAAAAGCTCAGAAAAAAACAACTCTGCTACTCAGGTCTATCCTTAGTCTCTCCCTAGAGTGCCTTCTGAGACCTGTCCTCAAGAGGGACAGAGGCAGGCCCTGGCACTGCCCTGGCCACTGTCCCAGGGATATCCAGGGAAGCTAGTCTTCTTTCTCCTCCCACAACCTCCTCTCTCCCCGTCCCTGTCTTCTAACTGTGCTCCTGCCCCTCTCCAAACCTTTGGCTGTTCTTGTCTCTGCTCACTCTTTTCTCTGCAGTGCATATTCACTCTCCCTCAGTCTTGCTACCTCTCACCCTCCCACCCCGAACTCTTGCTTCTCTTTCCATTTTCTTTATGTTTAGCTCTGTATCCCCACCTCCCTTTGCTCACTGGGGCTACCCTCTTCTTCCTCCATTTCTAGCTCCTCTGCCTTTCACAGCCCCCACCACCACCCCTGTTGTCCTCTGGTCCTGCCCCTTGCTGGCCCTGGGACAGGAAGTTGAGGGAGGAGGCCTAAGCTGTGCCAGCTCCCCCAGCCTGCTTTCCTTTCTCTACCTTAGCCACTCCTATGCTTCCTCCTGGAGAGCACCCCCTCCCTGTGGTCCCCTGCTCCTCCCCCCAGTCCACCTCTCTTTCCTCTCCCATGTTCCCTGTTCTCCCAGGTCCTACAGACACACAGGCCAGGGATGGGGTTTGCGGGGAGGCTCTGTTAGCTAGGAAGGGTGAATTGACATCACGTTTCAGGCCCCAATGAACAGTCTTGCCCCTCCCCCTCCTAATGAGAACCAGCTGTGTTTCCAGAGGCCCAGATGTGGGGATAGAGGGGGAGAGTAGGATAGAGTCAGAGGACCAATAGGACTGAGAACAGAACAAGGGCATATAGTAAGGCAGAAATGAGTAAGAGAAAAGATGTAACAGATTGGGTGACAAGACAAGATGGACAGGTTAGGCCAGCCCTGAGACAGGATAGGACAGATGTGGAGAGGAAGAGAAAAGAATGGGGAGGGAGAGAAGTCTTAGGGAAGAGGCAGTGAGAAACACTGGACAGATGGGAGAGATGGTGCTGAGAACAGGCAGGAGAGAGGATGAGACGGTCTCGGGAGAGAGTCTGGAGTTCGAGTTTGGAACTGGAAGCTGTGGAGCAGGAAGTGATGAGGCATAGTCCAGACAGAGGCCCCAGGGACCTAGAGGTCACAGCTGCAGCCGCAGAGCTGACCACGAGTGCCCCGGCAGCATGTGTGAGAGCACGCCTGCCTGTGGGTGGGTCCGCAGGCGTGTGCGCGTGTGCCTGCCTTGTCAGTCTGTACATACATGACAGCAGTCTTGCCCATGGTATGTGCATGTGCCTCTTTATATAGGGGGGATTTCCAAGGGTGCAAATGTGCCTCTCCATGTGAGGTCCATGAGAAAGTGTCTTCATTTGTGTGCATACGTATGCCTGCATATATTGCTGGGGGGGCTTCGTGTAAATGAACAGGCAGTCTGTGTGTGAAAATGGGCTTCTGAACACATGTAAGGAGGGTGTCTGTGTATGTGCCGTGGCTGTGTGTGAAAATGCATCTGTGTAAGTCTTTCATCTGTGTCTGGCAGTGTGTGGGTCTGTGACTTTGAGCATGTGCCTTTGTGTAGGAGTGCATTGGGGGGAGTTTATATTGAACAGGGACCCAGGTTGGGTAATGAAGAGAGCATGGAGATCTGCAGAGTTTGGGAGAACGGGCTGCTTTTACACAGAACATCTGCCTGGGCCTGAGTCCTTCCTCTTCAAAGCTGATCATTCATCTGAACTTTAATCTCATACTATTGATACATCCTTTCTTCCAGAAAATGTATTGACTGTGAACTATGTGCTATGCTTCATGCTACACATAAAAGTGACTAAGATATACCCTTGGCCCTTAAACAGCTCATTGTCTGGGTAGGGAGAGAAATAGTTATAATACAAAGAGTGATATATACATTGACCTCATTGTCCATTACCTTCTCTTCCCCCAAACCACTACTGTTTTCTCTCATTGACTGATTAAATGAATAGGACTAACCTTCAACCCTTGACCCCTAATCCAATCTCTGGACTTAGATTCAAGTGTTTTACAGATAAGGAAAATAACACTATTACTGGACTCAAATCCAGCCCAAACTCCAAAGCCCCTGCTTTTTTAGTGGCCTTGCACAGATGGGAGAGATGAAAGTTCGAAGCTTAAGTGGAGGTCAGAAACGCACTTCCCTTCAGAGGACAGGAAGTCCTAGAGCAGAACAAATTTATAAAGACTCAAGGACAAACTTCTGTAGCTACATATTGACCAAAATGTCTCAGGGTCGTGGGCTTACCTGTTTGTGTGTATGTCATCTGAGTTGGCATAACTGTGGACATTTCTTTCTGAGTGGTTAGTATGTGAGTGTGGTGATGTAAAAGCATGAAGCTCCAACCACTGATTCAGCACTGATTGTCTGCTCATGCTATTGCTCTACTAAATGCCAGAGAAGGAGAAACCAGGTAACACCTGCTACTACCCTCAAGGAGCCTCCAGTCCTGTGCAGGAGGCTCATGGATGCATCAGGGCTACAGTGCAGTTTATTGCTGATGTGTTGCAAAAGCAGTGGGAGCCCAGCAAAACACAATGGGCTCTGCTTGGGATGGCAGAGGGGGTATGTCAGAGAACAACTCATAGAAGACACGACATTTAAACTGGGTCTTAAAATTCAAATAGGAGATGGCCACATGGAGAGGATTTTTAGAAGCTATCTCAGGATGAGATCATACCACGTACAAGGCAAGGAGGAGTTAGGAAGGAGCATGCGACATTTAGTCTTAGAATGCAAGGCATGGTGGGGAAGATAAAGGTAGGAAACACAAGAGAGGTTGACAGGGCTCAGATTGCAAAGATGCACTAAGAGGTTGGATTTTATGTTGAAATCAGAAGTTCTATACCTAGTATCTATGAATCCTTTGAAACTTCAGGCACAAGTTTGTATCTGTGTCTATCTGCATTTCTTTTTCTGTGGA